TTCTGGGAGTTGAAGTCCAGGCATCTTAAAGAGTCGCCATGCTCGGGAAAGCGTTGTAAGGCTTTTCACAAAGAAAGGTCCAGCACAAAGAAGGAGAATAAACAGGCAGCCCTTTTTGGTTGTCGCCGTTTTTCTCTCTGATTCTACCCCCTCCCACTGAAACACACACACACACACACACACTGCTCCAGCAGGATGATTTGGGGGAGGGGGCTACAAATCGGGTGTGGCAGGCCAGTGAGGTCTCAGCCTTCAGAACAGCAGCTCTCAATCTTGGTGACTTTCAAGACTTGGTGGATTTCAACTCCCAGAATTCCCCAGCCAGCCCGAAGTCCACCCACTCCTAAAGTTGCTACGGCTGAGAAAAAAACAAAGAAAGCTAGCCTGGATTCCTCCCCCCCCCCCTCCTCCCCCGCCCCCCCAAGAAGGTGGTGTACATTTCTTGGCAGCTCCAATGCTTCAAAATGGAGGCTTGTTTACGCAGAATTTTTCTGCCCCCCCAAGGATGGTAGGTGGGCCTTGAGGCAGGGATGGAAAAGAGCAAAAAAAAAGAAAAGAAAAGAGAGAGAAAAAATTAGCTTCCCGTTTGCTAGAGAAAGAGTCTTCGCTCAAGGAAAACAGGCCTGGGAAACATCCTTCATCAGCCCATCCAAAGACAGGTTTTAAGCGATGCCCCCCTCCCCCCCGATCAGTAAATGCCATCAGAACGTGGGCCAAACGGTTTGAGATTTTAATTCACTAACACCTGGGCGGGTGGGAGGGAAAGAGAACGGCTTTCAGTGGGTAAACCAATACTTGAAATTCACATCCTCTCTCGGCGGCTTTGAGAGCGGAGGGTGGCCGCCCTTTTGTGTTCCTTTTAACGACTGCATTAAAGTTCCTTTTCCAAAATTGTACCTGTGTGCTCCGAGAAGTCTTGTTTCTCCACAGGTGGGGTTCCAGGTTCCTGTTTTGAGATCCGAGCCACGGTCTCGCTTTGAATAACAGAGTTGGAAGGGGCCTGGGAGGTCTTCTAGTCCAACCCCTTGCTGGAGCAGGGGACCCTATATCAGCCCATGACTGTCCAGTCTCTTCTTAAAAACCTCCAACGTTGGAGCAGCCACAACTTCTGGTGGCAAGCTGTTCCGCTGGTTAATTGTCCTCCTCCCTGTCTGGAAATTTCTCCTGAATTCCAGGTCGCTCCTCTCCTTGATTAGTTTCCATCCATATTTTTTTTTTCCCCCAGTCCTGCCTTCAGGTGCTTTGGAGAAGAGCTTGACCCCCTCTTCTTCGTGGCAGCCCCTCAAATATGCTATCATGTCCCCCCTTAGTCCTTCTTTTCACTAGACCAGAAGATCACGCCGGAGAGGTTTCACGTCGTGGTTTCGTTTTGTGGCCAAAAGGATCGATCCTCTTTTCGCCCTGGCTTCCATCTCCGGTGAGTTTTTGCTCCGCCAAGGGACAAGTTGGTTAAAAAAAATTATACGTATGTATGTATGTATATGTGTATGTATATGTGTGTGTGTGTGTGTATAATTTGTGTGTGTGTGTGCACACACACCTGCGCAGTTTTACCCAATGCAAAGAGGAGGTGTCTGTCTGTGTTTTGCTAAACAAACCCTGCGGAGTTTGGGGGTTCGACATTCCGATGTGTTTGGTGAAGATTCCTAGTCGTTGGACGGCTTCGGGTGGCCTGATGTTTGGGGTGGACAGCCGGGTGTCCTTCCTCATTTTGTTCCTGTGTCATCTTCCCCTTCCTTCTCTGCAAAATTGAGGTTTAATCTGGCTGCCCAAACTGGGGACCCCGGGGGGTTCTCTAAATGAGAGAGAGAGAGACGCGACGGAACGGTTTATGGTTATTCCTGCTGCGTTGGTGTCTCGCTTCTCTTTCCCTAATGATTCCTTGGGATGCATTCATCCTTCCCGCCCTTTTCCCAAATGGCTTCTCCGGAGACTTTCGCACCATTAATTTAGAGGATATCGCTTGAAAAGTTTGGAGGTCTTGTTCCCTTCCTTTCTCTTCCCTTTTCTCTCTCTCCTTCCCTTTCCCTTCCCTTCTTTCTCTTCCCTCCCTTTTCTTCCCTTCTTTCTCTTCCCTTCCCTTCCTTCTCTTCTCTTCCCTCCCTTTTCTTCCCTTCCTTCTCTTCCCTTTTCTCCCCTTCTCTTCCCTTCTTTCTCTTCCCTTCCCTCCCTTCCCTTTTCTTCCCTCCCCTTCCCCTCTTCCCTTTCTTTTCTTCCCTTCGCTTCCTTCTCTTCCCTTCTTTCTCCCCTTTCTTCCCTTCTTTCTCCCCTTCCTTCCCTTCTTTCTCTTTCCTTCCCTCCCTTCTCTTCCCTTCTTTTTCTTCCCTTCCCTCCCCTTCCCCTCTTCCCTTTCTTTTCTTCCCTTTCTTCCCTTCCCTTTACTCCCTTCCCTACTCCTCTCCCCATCGCTTTCAGAGTCTCCAAGAAATAAATGAAAATACAGCCCATCCGGATCCTTCCCAGCTGTTCCTTTGGAAGGGACTGAAGGCCGGCCTGATCGACTAATGTCTCCTTGCTGGATTTATCGCACCAGGTCTTTTTTTTTTTTTTTTTGCTCAACAAACTACCCCTTAGCCAAAATCCTTATCGCATAACAGCCTAGAATGAGAATAGGAAACCTGCCTCTGATTTCAGGGACCAAACAAGACCGATCCGCCCTTGTGATGCAATCCAAAGAAACCCCCTATCCTTTTTTTTAGGAAAGTGGGGGAAGGAAAAACAAACATTGGCTCTTTTCAGCCTCCCTTCCAAATGACGCTGTTGCTTAATGCTGCTCCTCCGAGGGGTTGCTTTCCTCCAAGCCCTGCCTGGTTTTTTTCTTTTTTTTTCGCGACAAGATTAATGTTTTTGACATTCAAAACAGAATTGGCTTGTTCCTTTCCTCTCCCTTTAGCTCTCTCCGCCGCTGTCTGTGCAGCCTGCAGAGAGTTTTCTGCAAGAAAGGGTGGCTGGTGAAGAGCAACGTTGCTTGAATGACCCCCTCATTCAAAGGATCTTGCCTCCCTTTGCTTCCTTTCCCCCTTTATTTTCCCCTCGGTTTATCTTTCTGGTGTTTATCCTTCCCTTCCCTTTTCCTCCTTTCCTTTCCTTCCCTTTTCCTCCTTTCCTT